TATATATATAATCATACTAAGAAAGTTAATTAAATGCATTTAAATTTTACAATTTCACATAAAATATGCATTACATTTCTTAATCACACTAATAATAAATATTATTCTCATTTATTATCTTATAGATAGTTTTGAATTAAAAATATTAAATAAAATTAACATGACTAAAATTTACTTATATTTTAATTTAAAAATTTTAAACATTTTTTATTTATATATAGATCCAACGAAATACATGTTTGTATTATTGTTTACGTATATCTAAATCTAAAGTATTTTCTACTTGTTACTTTTATCTTAAAGTTGTGTTCGGTAAAAGAAATATGTAAAAATTAAATTATAGTGAATAAAAATAGAAAAGAGAGAAATTATAGCAATAAAAATAGATGAAAAAAAATGATTTAAGAGAAATAAAATAATAATAATAATTGCAAAAAGATAAAATCGTCTAAATCTCCTTTTTTTGGTATGCACCACAATGTTAAAACTTAAAATTTCATACAAACTATTCAAACTCCATTACTAAGCCAACTAAACTTAAAGTTTTTCTTTTGTGATCTCAAAACATACAAATAACCTGTTTGGGTATAAGACTTTTGAACCTCTCTACCATATTTTTTATATAAAAAAAAATCAGTAAAAATCTTCATAATTTTTTTTTTGTAAACTTATATCGAAATAGAATAAAAATTCCTTTCAAAATCTTTCCCTCGCAAATCAATGAAAACAGTTTTAGCGTCCCTTGGTTAGGTTTCGAAAAGTGGACCCAATATTTTCAACTTCTTTACTTTTTAATTTTCTTCTCAAATATTTAATAAAAAAATAATTTTCATTTTATCTCCTCGTCTATTTCTTTTTCCTCTTTTTTATTTATTTATATAATTTCAAACAAATTATAAGAATACAAGTGTTTGATGCTGCCACTGCAACACCAAATCGCACGTTTGCAAGCTTAAAATTGGATTTGAGACATTTTCTTAAAAGTTCGGATAACTTGGTTAGCCAATGTTATAATTTTAAACGAGAGTATTTCGTTATTCAAACAAAATATTGTAATCTTTGTAGAAAATTGTATATACAGTTTTACTATAAATCCATTTGTGAGAAAATATTTCATTCACAAATCACTTTAAATTCAGTATCGATAAAATAAAGCAGTTTCTTTTAAATACTCATTTAAGCACAAAATTATAATCCTGATTGCAAATTTAGCTAAAACAAATAACAATATGTTAATACAAGATTACTTGAACTAAGTTACCGCATAATAGACGTGCACCAGACTATCTTTAAGCCAATAGTCAGAGTTGTAGAATTCATAGAAGCGAATTTTACATCTTAACGAAGTTCTTTTCATACAAATGACAAAATATTCTAAATTGATGATAAAAACACCGATACATTTGTTTATTTGATTAAAAATGTTAAAATAAAATAAATTAATGAGATTTGAAAAGAACGATAGTGCAAGTAGACTTCCAATTCGACAATAAACTTCGTAGAAATTAATCTTATACAAATTTTTTAATAAATATTGTTTATATCAAGTATTTACCTATTTATTTCCATTGAAACCTAGAAAATGGATGTTCAAACATCCTTCAAAACAAGTAAATAGATATGAAACGTGTAAAATTTAATCCAAGTGTGGAACAAATTATTGTTGTAAAAATTGGTGAATACAACCATCTATCATTAAGAATCTCATCTTTAGACTAAAAAAGAGCAAAAAGTGAAATATCGGAAAAAGAAAGTGCACCAACTAAAAATGTAGTTTTTGTAATGCTTGTGATATGAAGTAACATGCATTAAAAGAATACCGTCATGTACATCCTACATATTTAATATTTATTGTTAAGATGGATTTTCTATAATAATCTAAATGCCCAAACTATTATCCGACAAGTATCCTCTCAAGATTTCCCTGTGTGAAATGCTTGTTTGATAAACTTTTCCATAAATATTTCCAAGAATTAAGAGAGCAAAATAAAAAATAAAAAAAAATAAACTTGTCTATAAACTAAAGTTAGTTTATAGATAAACTAATATGCAAAAACTCTCTTTTATTACTTTTTTAAAAAATTTTGTTTTTAACTCATACATAAACTAATTTTATCTTGTGAAAAAACTAATTTAATTTTCTTTCCTAGGGCTAAAAAAAAAAACTTACCCAATGGAGCCTATAGGTGATAATCAAGACTTTGGAATAAACTCAGTGACATCGTGTTGTGCACTGTTGGGTTCATGGCTATTGTTTAACCATATTTTTTTATATTTAAAAATAGAAATAAATTTTTTTTCAGATATTTGATAGACAGCAGCTGTTTAATTTGGAATTTGGTGAAACTAGGATTATTGATTATCGGTTAAATTTAATTTTTTTATCCTTTATCATATCGAATTTATAATTTTGATCCCTCTATTTTTAAATTTACAATTTATTCCTTAATTTTGTAAACTTTACAATTTTAATCACCTTTTTTAATGTTTATCGGTTAATCGTTAAAATTGTAATGTTTATTGTGCCTTAACATTATATAGATAATACAATAATTAATATTTAATAACATTTAAATTAAAATGCATTTTTAATTCTTATTTTTATCTCATTTTTGCATCGTTTTATCACTTTTATGAGATAAAAATAAGAATTAAAAGTAAGAGTTAGTCTAAATATTATTAAATATTAAATTTTATATCATCTACTAAATGTCAAATTATAACTAATATTACAATTTTAATGATTGATGGATAAACATTCAACAAGAAAACTAAAATTGTAGATCTAATAAAATTGATGTACTAAAATAGAAAATTTAAAAAATAGAGACAAATTATAAATTCCATAATATATAAAACCAAAACCAAAACCAAAAGAACAATTTAGGTTAATATGATATAACCAAGTTCTACCAACTAAGGCTAACCTTTGCAGTTTACACTATTAAATTGCTTTGCTACCTATGTATGGGCCTGACATACTTCATTGAATCAACGAAGTGTTGATAAATAAATAAATAAATGCCGTCATTTGCCAAGTTTTTAAAGAGCAAAACAGGTTGGAGGGAAAAAAGGACCCGAAAAAAAAATAATTCACCAAACGATTTTTTTACTTTCCTTTTCGCAAGTCTTTTTTTGAAAAATATGTTAACCATCCAGTATTTATTTAATAAAAATATAAGTATGTTCAATTATTGACCACCAAACCATCATAATATGGATAACCGCGCACGAGTGTCCGACCAGGTAGACAATCCATCCTTGCTTATCCGCAAGACAACCGTTATAATAATGTGAGTATATATATAATAAAAATAAATGATTACACAATGATGACAACATCTTTAAAGTAGCCAGAAAGGGCAGACAAAAACCTTGATTTTTGTTAGTTACGATGGATTGTATTCAGAAAAAATATGACTCTCGGGCATTTGAATATTATTATGTACAGAAAAATAGGCAAAAGATGAGCAAGAGAATGAAGAGCTAGAAGAACCTGGTTTAAGGTGTCACGGACTCACGGGGCAACTGGCTGCAGTATGTTGCTGGTTGAAGTTTTGGGTTTCACAATATGTGCAAGAGTGACATCAGCTTTGGCAGGGTTAGAAACTCCCTCTCGGAAGGGGACCTCAAACAGCAAAGACTGGTACAAACAAACTTCATCTTCCTTGCAATAGTAAACCTGTAGAGAGTGAATAAAATTTTATTTACATCTTCATCTTCACTTTAGAATTAAGCTTCCCAACATTAAGAGTAAGAAAGTCCCCAAGTTTCTATCGATATTTCTAATATTAATTAACATTTTATTCCTCCATTTATCACTTGATGCCGTTCAAATAAAAGACAAAAGACCTGACACTAAAAAAAAGGTTTGAAGGCTTGAAGCAAACTAGTACTTTCCAATCCAACCAACTTCTGAGTTCTATAATGAGGCATACCTTGCAATTAATTCTTCCCATTGAAGCAGAGTTAGAAGATCTCTTAAAGTGAAGAGTTGCAGATCCTTCTGGACTAAGGGATCCATCAAGGGGGTCAATATTCACAGCATCTTCAGGTTCAATATCAACACTGAATCTACTGCGTGCTTCCTGCAATGAAATTTTAGGACAACAGTCAATGAAATATACATTCCCACGTGTAAGCAAAGAATAGAATTAGTGTTTGAAAGAAAGGAGGATGACGAGGACCTTTGAAAAGTGATACTCATTTGGTAATAATATTTTAATAAACAAGTTCCCCTCATTCGATGAAATAGCATCTATGCTAATTGGCATTGTGTCGGCTGATGTTCGTCGTCTAAGACGTTTAAAAGATCTTGATTTTGGTTTAGGAGGTTGAATTCCTTTAAGCTCCAACGTACGGAGTTCAGATTCACCAGTGTATAAATCAAGATATCGAATTAAGCTGTTGTTTGTGTCGGCTATAAATAATCTCCCTGAAAACAGAAAGGGAATAAAATATTTCAAAGATTGAGCATAATTTAAAATTAATCCATTTTAGACCAAATAATTGGATCTAGTGATCAGCAACCCCAAAATGAACAAGATGTGTACTTGCACAACAAAAAGCTTGCTTAAAAATTCGACAATCATGCATAATGAGATGACATTTATGTGCATTGTAGTTCTGTATATAACGATATGGAATTGTATTGGGGATTAGAATTTTATTACAAGTAATTTGATTTGTTATCTGCTTTTCAGGTCTTAGAATTCCTAGCTAGATTAGTTTATGTTTACTTCAGTATGATTTTTGTTTTTCAATATTTTTTAGGTTGAAAAATAGGGCTGCTTGAGTTGCCTATATAAAAAGAGAAATGCTAACAATACATTCTAACATATTCTTTTGAATACACTCTAATTTTTTGAAATTTATTGAAAATCATAAAAGTTTGTAAGTTTCATGTTATTTAAAGAGACTCTCATTATTTGATAGTTTTCAATAAATTTTAACCAATAATAAAGAATGTACTAAAGCAGCACTCCTCTTATAAGAATATTAAGATTTAGCCAAAGGTAGAATTTAGCCAAACTTATTTAGAGTTTCTCTTCTACTAAAAGGAGAATTTGGATCAAATTGAGCTTTACGAAAAGTAAATGAAAAGAAACTTTTTTTTTTCAATGGAGATTTTTTATTTATTTATTAAAAAGTTAGCCTTACTGCAATTTCTGTTTAGAGTTTGGTAGAGTTGATTTTGATGGAGTTGATTTTGAACAGTCAAATGTGATTTGAGATGTGTGTCTAATTTAATCTGAATCAAACTTTTATTAGGAAGCGAGTTTAACTTTTAAACTCTATAAAATTCCAGCCAAAAACTACCCAAGTCTTGCTATGAATTTGATTTAAAACATTTATTTCGATCTAGTTCCCTAGTTCTAGTACCTGTTCTACATCACAGAGTAGCTCAAAAGGGGTAGCGCACAAGCTTAAAAATCCATAATTTTCTTGACCCATCCCAACTAATCAACTACTGTCCCCCATCAAGAAGTTTAAAAGAGCAATAACCTGGCAACAACAAAGCTAGTAGAATAAACAGCATGGTGTTTGTAGAAAAATTTATGGCCACCGAGTTACCAAAATACTTGGCTTAATCAAATGAAATTGGTGACAAGCATTGGAATTCGATAGAGGTAAAGGCAAGGCCAAATAATATAATGTATAGGTAGGAATATTTGTATGGTAGGCAAAATTAGTATTTTGGTTCTCTAACTTGTATTTCTGTCATGTTTGACCTCTTGTCAACTTCCATTGAAATGATTTTAATCTCATCACCAGTTCGTTGCAATCTCACCGAAAATCATTTCACTAGACACTATACTACTTCACCCTCCATCCTCCTCCTCCTCCATATAACCGCCTCCCTTCATCCACTGTCCACCCCCATTTTCCGGCAATACAACTCACTTTTGTAAAAGATACATATTCCTCTCATTTGATATACACCCTGACAATATATATATGCAAAAGAAGTTTCTATTCTGTCTTAAGATTCATTAAAAGTAATATGTATGTGCAAACATTAAAAACAATGAATTAGATAGCAGTAAAAAGAGCAGAGTACCCTGGTTGCCTTCTACAATTCCTGATGGTTCAGAGAGCTGCGAGAAAAATGATAAATATGTTACACATATCTGTGGCTACTATGTAAGCAAGACTTTATATTTGTTTTACTTGGTTCTGCATGTTTGCATAGTCATTTATATCAAGAACATAAGAAACATCTTGTTTCATCTTCAAATGGACTTGTGACTTGTGAGAAGGATATTGAGAAAAAAACAAGCATTCGAATATGTGAATTATTTATACCAAATAATAGATGACAAAGCTTATGCTCAAGTTAAAATTAAGATTTTGGAGAAGTTAACATGACAAAGCTTCTCCAAATTATTTTGTGTATAAGCTAATTTTAACTCATGGATAAACTTATTTCATTTTTCCTTCCTATTTTTCTTTCCTAAAAGTGTTTCTACAGGAAGTTTATCCTAATAGGCCATAGGTCATATTAACAACATCAAGTTATCAGCTATTATAAATTTCTCCAAATTTCCCCCCATTTTTAAGGTACAAAAGAGAGAGAAATCCTTTTAGAATAAAATAATAGGCCAAATAACTAACAAAATGAGAGTAAACCACGTCAATAGAATAAATCCCAGAAAACCTGTTGTATATTTGAAGATAATATTACTATCCTTAAGCAACATCAATATATTTGTGGTGCTTCTCTTTGACATTCTTGTGGTCAATAAACAACTTGCAGAAGAATAACAGGAAGAGAGCATCTGATATTTCAAGTCCTAGAATAATTGAGAGCCATTTTTCACAAAAGTTGCCATTTATAGTGCTTCGTCAACTTGAGCTCACACAAACCTATTGTTGGAAAGCTTCCTTAATTGCGGTCACCTGCACCCCTAAGCTGGAAAGGGCTACCCACAGAGGAGCTAACTAGAAAGGCTGAGTTAAGAATTGTAAGTACAGCCACTAGATGTGGCTCTAAATCGGTTGAGATTCCATACTGATTAAAGATATGACCTATGTAGTGCTTACAAGGCTTGGGCAGTCCCTCACAAACTTATTTTTGGGGATTGAATTAGGTCCTAAGTCCAAATTCTAAGACCAATGCACTACAAGTCACCAAAATTATTTCATTAAAATCATTTTACCTTGAAACAATTGATACTTCCACACTTGTATAAACTAATGTGAAATAAAAAAGGAACTAACAGCAGAAAGTCTTGCACAGACGGGTCAACATTTTAAAACGAGGGTATAAACTGGAATTTGTATCTCAAATTGGAGATGATTTTGGAAAATAGCACATATGTTACCAACCTGAGCTTTTACAGCTGTTCCATCTTTGAAACCAGCTTTCCCAGTCCCTGCAATGGTGCTAACTCTTTTACTAGTTGGATCCAGCTTCTTGATCTGATAAGTTGAAACATAATAGACGGAAGAAAAATAGGAAATTCAGCCAATGAGGATAATGGAGCTAAAGTCTGGCCATCCAATTATGTATGTTGTCTTTCTAAGTGAGTTGTATCATGTATGATTCCAAACCTCCATGACATAAGTTTGATTACATAAATCTGACTTGCACAAGAATGTTAAGAATTAAATCAAGTATAAGACCTAAACAGGTTTGTCGAAAAAGAAAGAGCTACCTTCGCAAATTTATACATAAAATGTTTACCGTAGATATCTGATGTTTAAAGGAGTTTAAACCTGCATGACACCAAATACTTATTCCTAATAGAAACCAGCAGGATGACCAGTCAATCCTTGCCTTAATGAGGAAAGAATTGTTGGAAAATTCAGTATTGACAGAAAATTAGAAAATGCATTTAAAGACAAAAGGAACATGTAAAATATTCTAAAAATTCATTATTTTCTTAGTGTGTGCATGTACATAAAATTCAGATGGTGTTCTCTACGAGATATACTGCATCCCAGAGCCAAAACAATTCAAAAGTAAATGGGTCTGAGTTGTCTACCTTGTGATTGTAGCTATCTGCAATATAAATTTCACCATCATTTCCACACATAACCCCCAATGGATGTTGAAGAAGTACCTCAGAGCCTATTCCATCCTGATCACCAAACTGCAGAAGTTTGAGAGCATAAAGGTAGGTTACAAGGAGAAAAATTCTAAAGAGGAAGGTTATAAATATATGGTGTATCACTAACTGTAAAGATTTTTGTTGCTGTGTGTTTGAAGATTGAAGAACATTTGTATCATGAAACACCTCAGTTCATCTACTGTTATATTTTTTCCTTCTTATAAGGAAACTTAATTATTGAACAAAATATAGTGGAGCAAAATGAAGCAGGAAATATATGTAATTGGCTTCTGAAATCATATTAAAACTACCTTAAACAAATTGTCAGGGAAGAGTGGGTCACCACCAGCTAACAACCGAGATCCTCCTGTTTTCAGATCAATAGCTCGAACTGAACTACTCTCACTATCAGCGATGTAGATCTCCCTTAGATCTTATCATGCAAAATCAGGTGAAACGTTAATTATTATGAATGACAGTTGATACAAAACCAAGTTCAATCGAATTGTTGCTGCAGCTTACCTTGAGACAGTGAAAGACCAGAAGGTTGTGCAAATGATGTGCTTGTAGAACTATCTCAGTCAAAACATAATTAAATACGTATTAATCAGAAGGTTTTCAGGATTTCTAGCCAAAAATCACTCGAACAATTGGAATAAACCATAACCAATAATTTCAAAACCATGGTCCAACAAAGCACAAATACATACCTGCCCTAGAAAAAAGCTAATAATAAAGTCATCATTGGCATTAATATCAACTTCATTGTCCCTTTAAAAGATGCAAAAAAATTCAGGGATTATTTTTCATCCAATTTTTTGCAAGTTTCTGTATGACCTTAAATTGGCCAAATTGGGGAGGGGGGAGGGTGTGAACATTTCAGGAATGAGCTCTTCATACAATTCTTCACATAAAGTTTTTCCCAAAATTTCCACCTCAACTTTTAAGGGCATGCCAAATTGGCTCTTCAGACTTAAATTCAAATTGAAAAAAAATAATAATAAATAAGAACAATCAAAGGCCCATTTGTTTAAGTTTGAAAAAAAAACTTTTAAAACAAATTATTTTGTAGAGTTTTTTTTTTCCAGAAGTTACTATTTTTAGCTTATGAGAAAAGCACTACAACAACTTTTTATTTAGTTTTTGCTCTTTTTTTATAAATATTTTAATTCTTATATTTTTAAACATGTTTTCTTTTAATCAATTTTTTTTTTCTTTAAAAAACACAGAAACAGGTCCTTAGTTCACATCACTCCATGACATATTTAAAATGGTCACCACCAATTCTTAGAATGACAATGTCAACTCCCAAGTTACTGAAAGTGCATCAAGGAAAGGACACCAACATTCCCAACGGATTAAACAACAAAATCAAATGAAAATTCAGAGTAAATAACAATGACAAGCTCTCAGTTGATTCATGTTGAACATAACACAATGATAGGAAAGATCAAATAATCAGAGTGAAAATGTTGAATCAATATTTATAGCCAAGAGAAGAGGCGAATATAGAAATATTAAAAAGCAATCTAAGACAACACAAGAGGGATGCAAAAAGATTGTTTTAGAATACCATAAATTTTTATGAAATCATAATAGTATTAATATAGTGTGCAGATATGCATAATAACTGTAAAATAGTAACATATTCTGCGCATCATAGTATTCAAAGGTTATTATAATAGAATCCACAGAATAACAACTGAAATATAAAAGTTTGATGTCAGGAAAGGGTATCTGTATTTGATGTGATACCTTGATCCATTTAAATTTCTCTCATATCCATCACCACTGAATGATTTTGTAGTTGCATCCAATAAATTGTGCTCCCAAATCTGATGTTGGCCAGCCATGGCAATATAAATTTTTTCTTCAAATGGATGAAAGCAGACATCCCAAGGGGAATTGAGGAGCTGGAATAAGGGGGAAATTTAGGAGTCTAACTTTATGGTCCATTAAGGAGCCTATAAGAATCATATTTAATGAAAAGATGATAATTAAAAAAATTTATGAGCCTAACTTTGTGGCTCATCTTAGATTCACAAATGCTACTCATCCTCAATATTTACTGATCAATTTTATTACCTGAGTATCTCCTTTTCCACCTCCAACATAATCAGAGCCCTTGGTCCCATTTCCAGCAAGAGTCCACACTTTCTCATTAACAAAATCAATTTCCCTTTTAAAACAGAAATAAATGTTAGATCCAATGACAAGAAACCATTACATTGAAGATATTGAATAGAGATTATTACTGTATTTAAAATTAATAAATTGATCCATTGAACTTGCAACAGCTTGGATCATTCAATATGAATACAGAACCAAGGTTCTTTTATCAAATAAAACAAGAATATTTTCTTAAAGACTTAAACTTTCTAAGAATGAAATTATGTGCAGATCAGTTTTGATATTATGAAGCAGGCATGGCATATAGTACACAAAGAAAGAGTCTCTCAACTGTTTTCTATGATTGAGTTTACCATTAAAATATTTATAAAGCACAGATGATGTCACATATATCATAATAATGAAAATCATACTATTGATTTTCTGAATCTGACATGTACCTCAAGGCATGGTTTTCGGTGTCTGCAACATAAAGGATATTTTTCTTTGCATTATAAGCAAGGCCCTAGAGAAGAAAAAAATAGTACCTCAAACGTTGTCTAAATAAATAAGAAAGAACTAAATAAATACACTAGAATCTCAAACGTTAGCTACATTATTTTCTACCTGAGGTCGGTTAAAAGTAGCATCATCAAAGGAACCATCCTGCAAACCTTCCTCCCCACTGCTCCCAATTTGTACAATAAAATTCCCATCAAAGTCAGTAACCACCTGAATACCAAACATGACCAGATGATTTTGAATAGCTTTTCAAAATAATCAGATATTATAAAGAATCTAAAATCTGATTAAAATTGGAAGCTATTTTAAATAACTCATAAAACCAGCTTCTTCTTTTTTTTTTTTGAAAAAAGAGAGTGATTTTTATGATTGTAAACAAACATAAATTAGCTTTTTATTTTCTTTTTTTTTTGAAAAATCTCTAAAAAAAATAATCACTAAATTATTTTACATCAGAATCACTGTTTTTTAAAATCCATAACAAACAGACCCATAAAGTTTAAATTGTATTATTTGGGAGCACATGGTTTCATTATTAATATTTTGAGAATTTTAGGTTTAGTAGCTTGGTTCTTGGAATATATCTATCCATAGTTTGATTAGGAAATCTCAAGTCATTTAATTTATCTTAGGGCCTTCATCTTTATGATTGAATTTTGCCAACAATATTTCTGCGAATTGAATAGTGGTTCCAGGGCTCCAGTTCCATTATAATTAGGAGGAACGGACTTCTTTATTAATTAATTCTAAAGCAATTTATGTGTTGCCTTCAAAATATTCCTGATTCATCTTATATATTAGTAAAGGTTTTCAGAGGTAGCTGCTCAAAAGATAGTTTAACTTCTCAATAAAACTTGAGGAATTAACAACAGCAAGGAAATTCTAGAAACCAGGAAACTACCATACATTCTAGGTGGTGTTAAGATATTTCTCTGAATAGTTTGTATGAGAAGTAAGCCTAGTGACTCATCATTCTCGTACCAGGTAAACCTATACCTATACAGTTATCATGTGGTAATGGAGAGAGAGAGAGAGAGAGAAGGGGGGGCGGGGGGGAGTGGTGGGAGGGAGAAATGTACAGCACTCACTATGCGGTTATGGTTGCTGTCAGAAATAAAAAGTCTGTTATTAAGGACATCAATTGCTAGTTTTCCAGGAAACTTGAGTGGAGATGTTGATAGGCGTGGATCATTATCTTTTTCCAAACTCAATGAAATCGGCGTATTGTCTAACATGTTCTGTTTTCCATAAAACAGAAGTGCAGCCTCCACAAAATCATCTAGATCCTTCCAAAACATAATAGCTATATTAGACAAACCAAAAATTGTATCACTGCAAATATAGTTTGAACTTTTATCTTTGTGAATAAAAATGAAAATAAGAGAACACAGTCAGCAAAAGATGTATGCACTGCTTCATCATACTTTATTTAAAACATGATATTTAAATATTTATTTAGAGCATTAGTTCTACATTCCAACCCATTAAACATTAAGCTACTTGGTAAGGCAAATGTGTTAAAATAGAAATTCCTGACACCCAAAGGTAATAGCTACACTGAATACGAATGGCTTTTATACCCTTTGAAATAATTACTACAATGAAGTGGGTTTCGAAGCCATGTAGAAAGCATTGCCACTAATTTTTTTCTGTATTGAATATTGACTGTAAGCCTCAACTAAAAATAGGATATAGCAAGAATTTTCTAGCTAAAACTTATTAGAATGAGTTGACATTGTTATTGACTTCCAGTTGAATCAGTTGTTCTGATTACACTATCAAAGTGTTGGCATAAAATAGATGTGGAAAAGTAAAAATGACCAAAGACTTTATTTATTTGATGGAGAAAACAAATTCTTCAAAAGCTTAACACTGGAAGGTTCTAAACAAGCTGAAAATAGAAAATTTCAGACTGACCGTGCACTCCACTCGTATTGATCCATGAAGGCTTTTTAAGATAAAAAAAACAAAGTGTTCATGTCTTCAGAAGATTGTTTTAACTCGTCCAAAGACAATAGCCAATTCAAAAGGATCAAAAAGTTAAAAAGGCTGCTATGTGAATGTAAACCTGCCACAAAAGGGCAGAAATACAACTTCTATATCAAAAAAAAAAAAAATCCTCCGGAATCATTTGAAAACACCTTCAATAGTCCAAAATAGTGACTAGGTAAAAAAAATGCTAAAAATAGCATTTTAGTCAAGCTAAACAGAGAACTTAGGAGAAAACATAATATTCTGCACAAAAGTGGTCCATGTTTTTATTCAAGCTTCTGAAAGTAATTCTCTCTTCTCCTACTCCCATCTTGTTCAGTTATATTGATGTAACCTTTGGGGAGTGTTGTTTAGCTTAGCTTTTCATTGGCTATACACTCCAAGACTGATTTAAGCAATTATTTCACCTACCCACCTTCCATTTTCTTGATACTTGTTTTCTCCCAGACTAGCTAGTGAGTAGTGAGAGTTAGTGTTGGTTGAGAATTTCTCAAGACTGTAGAGACTGATAAAATAATACTGGTTGTTCAATAACAAGGTTGTGTGAATCATTGAAAAATACTTGGTGTAAGCCAAACGAGGCTGTGGAAAAGAATACTTCACTTGTAAAGCTACCTTAATTGTTGTCACTCCTAGCCAGCCTTAGATATGGCCTATTTGAGGGTGCCTTAATTGCACAAGAGTGGTAGTTTAGTCTCATATTGACTAGAGATATGGCTTAAAACCTTATAAAGTTTGGACAATCCTCACTTACAGTCTTCACTTTATAAGCCAGTTTTGTGGGGTTAACTTAAGCCTTGATTCCAAATTACAAGAAGACATCAGAGCCTATCCTAGATCTATTGTTGGGTCACTTGCATTTGCCTTGTTTTAGGCTAGTATCCCTGAGCGCAAGGGGAAGCATTGGAAAGACACCTAAATTGTGGTTACCATTAGCCCACCTTAGTTGCAGCCTCTTTAGAGACTGTTTTAAGGATGTTGGTGGAAAGGAACCAAAGCACAGAAAGATACTAGTTTTTATTGATTTTGAAAAGGCTTATGACTGAGTTTCAATAGAAATGTTGTGGAAGACTTTGGAAAAGTTCTCTTACAAGACACATATGATGGGATGATTAGTAGTGTGAGAACTTTTCTATAGAGATATAGTTACATCAAAGCAAAAAAAAACTGTTTGTGGCTGTGCAATAGATAGTTACAGGCTCCTAAAGAAGTACATTTTGTTCAACCGACTGTACTACCATCTGTTGATGAAATGGTTGCGTGTGCCCAAAATCACCAGACCCAAATAACGGTTAGGTACATGCACAGCTCATTCGTAGGACAAATATAAATAATTTTCATACAGCTATCTAGCATAGTAGCATTTTCCTTTTCATCTTTACTATATCTCAAATAATCAGTCAGTTCTGGCACTACACAAACTAGTAACAGCAATGAAAAAGCAATACTACGCATGACATTAGATGCATATAATCCTAGAATTATCTTGCATTGGCATTACACAAACTAGTAACAGCAATGAAAAAGCAATACTATGCATGACATGAGATGGTTGCGTATAATCTTAGAATTATATTGCATTATTTAAAAAATGTCACAACAAAATTGAAAATGAAATACAGAGAGAGGATACTAAATGTCATCATCATCACCTTCTTGTGACCTTCTCCTGCAAGTTGTGCAAGAAGCTTACCATTGGGGCCAACAATAGCAAATGTTGGCCATGAATTTATACCCAACTCCCGCCAAAGATACATGTCTCCATCATTGACAACCTAAAAGAGGAAACAGAAAAGATATGATGGAGCATGATTTATTAAGGCAGAGTTCAAGAGCTTTAAACCATTAACAAAATTAAACATCAAAGCAAAGAACACAAAAAAATCCAGCACAATAAACCATCTGACCGAAAAAGTATTGAATTTTCATCAACTGAACATCTGGCCAATGTTCAATTTTTTAGAAAAAGAAAAACAAATACTTTGAAATATTAATTGAATTCCAAATTCAGGCTTTACCGGGTGAGAAATTCCATAGCGTAGTACTGCATTGCGAATGGCTTCAGAATCTTTCTCATTATCAAACTTTGCAGAATGAACACCCACAACAATGAACTGAGCAGACAACACAGACATCAAATAATTGATATTAACCCCTTTTGGAGGAAACAGACCCATTTTTTCAAATCAAACATTAACTGGACAACTAAACGACTTTTTATAGAGAGCAGTGTAGAATAATCAAGAACAATCTGGAAAAATTTAAGCTCATACCACAAAGTACCTTTTAATTGTATGACAAAATTGTCTTAAGCAGAGCTATACATCATGCTACATTTGATAACCAAAATATTTAGATGTGTGAAATTGATGATAAGTAATTACCGGCATATCTTTGTATTTTTTCTCCAAAACATCTAGGTCTGGCAACACGTGCATACAGTTTATACAACAATAAGTCCAGAAATCTAGCAGTACAATTTTCCCTTTCAGATCCTGCCAAGAGATATAATCGAAATCTAATGAATTATCGCAGATCTTTTCATCAGATTATAATTCAAACTTAATGAAATTACCCTGTGAAACTGAAGTGGAGCTGTATTCAGCCAATCAAGTTTAGATGGAAATTCTGGAACAATCTGAGCATTTCCCCTTGAAGAGTGAAAAGAAATTGATCATAATATATTAATAACAATTACAACTTCTACGTTGCTCATGGATGTACAAAGCTTCAATGTTCAAGCTATGTTTTTTTTTTTCCAGAGGATGTAATACTTAAATTTCTACACAAACAAAATAACTGACAATAGACAATATTCTCTTCAAGCTATATTTTGGATAATATAGGGAAAACAGCTATATATTTGTTAAGATATTGTGAAGATTTATTAGGGTTTATCATATCTTAGTTAATCATATCATATCATGTAAATCCTTATTTTTTCATTATAAATAAAAGATGTGTGGTGAAGATTTTCACACAATTCCTAAATCACAACAATATTAATAAAATAAGCATAGGGTTAAAATCATCAGAAAATAGTTATAAATAAACTTATCAAATCACCAATTACCTGCTTTCCAGTTCAGATATGTAGTTCACAAATTGCTGGATCCTATCATCTCTTGAGTTATCTGAGAACAAAAAAGAAATAATTCTATGGCTTTTACTTTATTTAGTATAACAAAAAATTGAAGAAAAAAGACTATAAAATCAATACCAGCATACTTGAGTGGAGATTTAACTTAGCACTAATCACCTGTCCTATCTAGCAGCTAAAGTTCACAGGCTGACTGTTTCTTTGACATGACCATAAAGCTTCAGTCACTTCATGGTCCAGAGTTTTAATTTAGCACCTAGAGTAGAAATGAGATATTTTATCCTTATCTAACATGCAGTTTTAAATTCAGTAGTCCTTTGTATTCATATTTATACATAGCACCAACACAAGCCATGAGATAGAAAAATTGTTGGATCGATAAAATAAGACAAAAAATAACAACTTATATAATACAAACATAATTCAATGATTGAGAGGCCTTTTGAGTGATGACCAAAAAGCAAAACCGTGAGGGCTAAGGCCCAGAGCAGACAATATCTCATCATTGTGGAGTATGTTTGTATAATAACCTTATAAAAATAACACTCATAAAATATTCCCTCAGACAAATACCATAAAAATAACCATGCACGTTGGATTCGGTGACAACCAATAACCCTTATAAAAAAATGATAATGATAATGTGATATATAAAAACAGATTTCGCTGCATGAAAGGTTAGGTCCCTTGTTTGAGAGGAGGATTGTTGGGATACAAACAAGTCCCACATCGATAAAATAAAACAAGAAATAACAACTTATATAGCACAAACATACTTCAATGATTGAGAGGCCTTTTGGGTAATGACCAAAAGCAAAACCGTGAGGACTAAAACCCAAAACGGACAATATCTCATCATTGTGGAGTATGTTTGTGTAATAACCTTATAAAAAAATAACCCTCAAAAAATACCCCCTCAGACAAATATCACAAAACATACCCCATCAAAAATAGATAAAATGGCAAAAGTCTATAACAGCACAAAATGAATTCATTACCTTCTTTCTTCTCCAAGGGTGGCTGGGTAACACCAAACAACAGATTCAAAACTGCTTTAGGGGAAGCATATTGCATTGCCTGCAGTATAGCAATTAGGTAGTTACACATGATTGAATCGCTAATTAATTGCCCATCAAAAGGATTAAAAGTTGAAAAGCTTAGATTCAACCAAATAGGTATGGTGCATACTTTACAGCAAATTTTGCACAACATCTATACATCATTGTACCTTCCAGTTGCTTAGGGTGAAGAAAAGGCAAGAGATAGCAATGCCCAGACTTCCAAATCTCAGTATTTCTCGCCGAGAACCCTGCAACCTGCCCAAAAATTATTTCTGCACCCTCATAATAATAAATCAATAAATAGTTTCATGGTAAAAAATTACACATGGGAAAGCCATTATTCATCATATAGGAGAATGACACCAACTAATGTAATATCAGAATTCCATTAATGGAATCCTCCATTGGCTTGTTCATGAATCATCCAACGTTGTATACATTGTGAATAAAGGCAAATAGATCTACATTACACTACTATTTTGGGGGAAATTGTTTCAACTTTTACAATTAGTGAACCTTAGATTCTTTACCTTTTCATATTATTTCCTTTTTTAAAATAGAAAAAAATATATAGAGAAATGCTAGTAAAACTCGCTAACACACTCTTTTGAACAACTCTACTGTTGTATGAAATTTATTGAAAATCACATTTTTTAGGGTCTCACTACTTATGTAATGAGCATCTCTCTTGATTTAATAGTTTTCAAGAAACTATAGCCAATGGTATTGTATGTGCTAGAAATAGTGTTAGAGAAAGTTCATTGCACTACTCAAATATATATTAAAAGCAAATTCCAATTCAATACATGAACTAAAATCTGAATTTGACCTAATCAATCCCTGTTATTACCATCAATGTCCATGTGAACTGAATTTTCTAATTATGCATCAAATGCAGGCATATTATTGATTTACTATTAAATGATTAAAAAGATTAAGGAATTGAAGACCCCGAAAAATATGAACTCTCAAAAAGATTAATAGAATTAGCATTAGTATTGAATTACAATCTAAATTTTGATTCTCTAGAGGTAGTAGTTATCAATTCATCATCCGCACCACAATAATTTGTTAAAAGCAATGCTAAGGCTGCATCTTACAAACTTACTTTTGGAAGAAAATCTTTAGATTTCAAAAGAGAGAATGAAAAGAAAATAAGTACAAACATAAAACTGGCTTACCCTCCAGCAAGTATAGAAGATGAAGGTTGTGCAAAATTATTTAGTGTTTCAGAGCCCTGCATCCTCTTATCTGCAATGGCATGTCTAGATAAGACCTCATGCAATATAATATCTACACTCTAGAGCACTATTCAAGAATAATTGTCAGAAAAATAACTATCGCTTGAAAAGTAAAAGAATGTTGATGTTTCTGTGTAGTTTGAATACAAGCACAAATCTCCTTTTTATAAGCTTAAGAATGTCTGACCCTATTAAGGGAAATAGGAAAAATAATGAGATATTTATCTAAATCTAATAATATCAACTATATAAACAAGATATTTACTACACTATCCTAACTAAAAGGTATACTTAAATAAAAGAAACAACTTTACAAGATAGAGTAATCAACTGAGTAAAAAAGTGTACATTTTGCAATAAGTGAGACGGATTTGCAATACAGAACAAATGTGACTTCCCCATTCTACATCAAAAGCAACATGAAAGAATTATAGGAAAAAGATTGATTTACAACAAACACCCAAGACTACATACTATATCCAACAGAGCCACCACTTAGAATATCATCAAGTGAAACACTTCCTATGTCATCTCGGATAAGTGTTGGGCCAGCAGATTCCAAAGCCTCATCTGATAATGTGGTCCTTACAGCTATGCATCTGCAAACAATGAAAACAATCATTTAAATATTTTTTTATGTCTACTGTTGAAATACACATACAAGCGGTCTTGGAGTCTAGAAATTGGTTTGGGTTGGTAAGTTCAAGAAACCATTAATAATCATCTTTCTTTTAACACAGAAAACACAAGTGAATAGTTACCTCATTTGTGCAGCTTTGGCAGCTTGCACTCCAGCTAGCGCATCTTCTACAACAATGCACTGGGAATACATATAAGGAGTTTACTTTTTCATGCTTAAGAGATAATACACATCCTTTTACCTAAGGATATCAAATTCAATGGGATACTGATCTAAGGCATGCACTAAAATTTAATAGATGCAGATAATCACGAGACTTGGTAAACTTAGTCCAGGCATTTAGTAACTCCCAATGCATCTTATTGCAGAAACAATTTTAATCTATCATGAAAGAATCTCAAGATAGTAGCAAATAATCAAGAATTTTATCACTTGAAAGATAAGTACCTGCCTCATCTTATTTGTTAAGTTACCTTAATTGTGGACACCCTCGGCCGACCTTAATTTGAGGTCTCTTGCACCTTCATTGTGATAGGTGTGAGGAGGTGGATCCATGTTGATGGGCAACCTGCATTGGCATGTTCCAAGCTGGTAGCCTTAGGCATAAAAGGGTGTTCTAAGCTACCTTATTTGCAGACACTCTAAGCCCGCCTTAGCTTTCCTCCTCATGCACCTTCATTGTGATGAGCGTGAGGGGGTGGATACAGTCCCACTCCCACATTGACTAAAGATAAGGCTTAAGTAGTGCTTATAAAGTTTGAATAATCCTTACTTTACAAATTAATTTTGTGAATTATGAGTTAGGCTGATAGAATACTAAATATGAGTGCATATGTGGCTAGGTCATAAAAGAATGTCTTAGTGGACTATAAGCAAGACAGACCCAAGAATAGAGAGGCTAGAAGCAGACCATATTAGCCTTTTGAGAAGTTTTTTTTTTTATTCTAATGTTTTCTTCACTAAAAAAATAATCCCTTTAATTTTTAAAACTCCTATAAAAGTGTGTTTGACCTTACTTTTTCTAAGGAGAAGTGGAAAACGAAGTCAAACACCACCTCAATATCATTCAATAAACAAAGCTACTTAAAGTTTACAATGAGGGTCTATGTATAGACCAACAAAACCCAAACACAATAAGACCTCAACATGATAAAACTAACCAAGTCCAAAGATAAAATAAACTAACTTTAAATTGAGACAAAATCCCAAATCAAAACCGAAGTTATGAAATCAAAAGCCTAACCAACTTACCAACTATCTGCATATTTTTGTTATCATAATAACTAACAATCATTGTAACAAAACCAACAGTCCCAAAAGCTTAACTTGCAAGGTGAAAACACGTTATAATACATCTCCTCTAGACTTAAAGGAAAAATTATTGGTGGACACCAAAATCTAGTAGACACCTACAGAGATGAAGAAAGAGAAGTGTAGGTATGTTAGGTGATATGATTTGATAGGTAGAGAGAGATGGAGCAAAACAATAGACATTGATAGAGTGTATGATATATAGGGGTGTCTATATATCATCACTCAAACTTAAAGCATTGACAAATGTTAGGAACCTTGTGCTAAAATCATGCTCCTTATTAGAAGAATGGAAGCAAGATGGATTTAACTCTAGACTATTTGATCTTAGAGGCTCTCACAAATGCTTAAGATCTTAGATGAAGACACACAATTGGTTTTATATTACATCTTTAACAATAAAACACCACTGGTCTACATAGTCAATCATCAAAAAAAAAAAAAAAAAAAAACTACTTAGGCCTCAAATGATAGCTCAATTTAATAGCATATACCTCACTGGGGGGCACATTCAATATTCTTGATGCAGCTAAGAAAATATCAGGAGCAGGTTTCAAATTCTCAAAAGCATCTGCAGACACAATCGCATCGAACCTAATAAAACAAATGCAATTGTATAATAAGAACCTTCATAAAGTGCAGGTTACAATTAAAGTCAAGCTGATGAACTCAGACATAATGTAAAAAGCAAATGTATGCTGTTTGAACCTCATTTAATTTAAGCATTCTACAGCTTAGCATATAATATGCAGTGGACTTACATTTCATCTTGGATTATGGTTTAATACCTTAAAGTGGTTATAACTAATTGAAGAAATAAAGTAGAAAAAATTCATATATATGTATATAAAATCAGAAATAGTTGGAGGTCAACATCTCCATGCACATTCAACAAACCAATTAGAATGTTGGCTTACATTGACAATGGTAAACCAGCGGCAGCTAGATTTGCATCAACCTTTATACGATCAGCACTAGATGCAACAGCCACTTTAAGCCCATTGCTTTTACACTGTTATGTGGTACCATGTCCTTTCTTAGTTAGTTGGTGAATCAGCAAAACAATCAACCCATGTTAATCATGATTAGTTTTACATACCTGAGAAATGAGTTCGAGGGCACCTGGAAATCCTATTCCAGAATCTGGTTTGGCATACTGAGATAAATGACAACACTTTAGACAATATCAAGTAGAAGAAATAAAAAGTAGCATCAAGAGAAATATAAATACCTTATCTAAATATATTTCAAAGAACCTTTTTTTTGCAGCTTCTGGGTCAAATCCTTTAACTCCCTTAACAGAAGCAACACCTCCCAAAAAGTTCGCTTCTCCTTTCATGTTAAAAATATAATAATGAATAATATAAAAGCTTAATAATCAAATAGCAACTCAACAAAACAAAATGGCGCCCATGTGCCAAAGAACATAGTCAGATCAAAGTAAAAAAGAATGCAGTAAGAGTAGGTTAGTAAAAAAGACATGTAGAATACATTCTTTGCTTCATGTTACACATAGTAGGTATGGAATTTAAAAAGGTAAAGAATTTTAAAAAAAATGACAAAATAGAAACTTATTATGCTCTTTTGTCTAGTTTTAAGATAGGAAATGGATGTTACCACATTCAACTTTTTGGAATAACAAGAATTCTAATTGTATACAATCTCAAAACTAAATTGCAATGCAATTTTTTCTTCGAAGCTATGGTGAAAGCTTTGTGGTATCCTACAACATAGACCAAATTTGACCAACAATTTCTATCCATTTAGTTCTCTTATTTATGTCACCTAAAAACTATAGATAAAATAATTAAGAAGGATTAAGAGGTCAATGATTTGTCTATAAACATGATTCACAATAACAAATTATGGCTACAATTGATCCACATGACCAAACCCACCTAGTGGAAAAAGATTTCATTGTTGTTGTTAATTGTTATTGTATTTATTTCTTAGAACCACCTAGAGGGAAAAGGCTTTAGTTGTTAAAGATGCAAGTGTTACACATCAATTGTTTAGTTTAATAAATTCTTTTTAAATGGAAAGATGATTGGGTTAAAAAAAATAAGCATCTCCACAACAATTTAACCCAATCCAACACAATCTGAATCCTTTGAGACATAGGATAAGGCCAACCAAATCTTGGTTAAATGTCCCAAGGAGAAATCTCAATCATTGAGCACTACATACTCCATCTTAGGGGTAGCAGGTTCAAATTTCATTAGGAACTTGTGGGTTGGCCCAATTGCTATACAGCCTCCCATGGATCCAAAAATACTCGACTAAGCATCTGATACTACTTGATGTGGAACTTACGCACCCCATAATACCCAAGTTCCTGTGATAGTGATGCTCCAAAGAGTTGATGTTCCGACAACCAACTTCTAACATAGCACCGCCCCTATCATAACACTATGACACTTCACTTAGCTTTTTTAGTTAGCCTCTCCACAAGTAGCCCTTTTTGAAAGACCGGCAACCAGCTCTAATACTAATTGATAAGTATCCAAGTACTTGGGGAACCCTCCCTTAAAACTAGCTGTCAAGGGGGAGAACCAAACACTTAAATACTCCACCCAACATCCAATACTACTCGATATAGAACTTAGCACAACCATAATACTCAAGTTTCTATTACATAACAAATTATAGTAGATATATTCCTTTCAACATGTAATAATTTCTTCCTTTGCACGATTTTCTTTTGGGTGTAAGTGTAACACTGAACCTTGGAAGAGTGACATACACCAAGTACTTACACCCCGAGTGAAATTCACCAAGTACTTACACCCCGACTGTATCAACAAGCATTAAGGTAACAAAGTGACTTTCCAATCAACAGCAAGATAGCTCTGAGTGCAACAGACTAACAGCATCTCAACACCAACAGAACACAAGAAGCACAGGTCAGATGGATCGCACTTTGCAAGGCACATTCAATCTTCGCCTAATTAAACCCTAAACTTGAAACACAAATCAAACCCTCCAGTAATTCCCATCCACCCAACAACACCCAAACCTTCGTCACTACATCCAGTCTATGATACTTTACTAGAGTCACAGCCTATTGCATTGGCATAATGACCTAGCATTAACACTATCACCTAGTTGATCCACGTCAAAGAAGCTCGACGAAGCTCTACATTGACCTAGCTCTAAGTTGAGACTCTAGATAAAATGAACAACGTTTCTCCATTTGTTACGTGAAGTTTGTTTTATGCGATTCTCGAAGTTACTTGAACAACTGGCCAAAAACACGTGAGAGAATTCAGCATACAAAAAGCGGAAAGCTAGAGAAGTACCGGTTCCCATGAATGGCACAAAATCGTCGACGGTGACTTGGACGCCGATTTCGGCGAACAATTCGACGGCGGCTCTTCTGGAAGGCTCTTCGCTGTTGCAGAGCACGCCGTCCATGTCGAACAACACCGCGGAAACCTTCCCCCACGCTCCTGATTTTCCGGCGACATTCTTCTCCTCGACGTTCACCGCGCAAGCTTTGACGGCGAATCTCGGCGCCAAAACGAGGCGTTTCGGTCCGCAATGGAAGAATCGAGAAGGAAGCGAAACAGGTGTGGGTCGTGTGGGATTGGAGGAGAATAAGAAGCGTGTTGAGGAAGTTGGGCGCGATAGATAAAAGCGACTCGTTTCAAATGCCATAGCCATGCCGCTTCACTCAACTGATTCTGTTTCTGAGTGGCGGGGAGGATTTTAATTCATAATTTTTTATTTTTTATTTTTAATTTATTATCAGAGTCATGCAATGTGTCACCTTTCGAGGGAACCTTATCCGCTTCCTCACCACAACATTTCTAATTTTTTTTCTTTTTATTTTCTCCATTTTGGTGGATTTTTTCTGTCCATTTATGCATGTTGTGTTTGAGCACTTTCTACTTTCTATTATTTATTAGACACTAGCTAAAATATAATTCACTTGGTATGACCTTTTTCAACTTAAGAATTACTTTTACACTGTGTTGTGTTTAGTAGGATAAAAAAAAAAAAAGGTAAAAAAATATATTGGATGAAAAATAAATGGCATATAGAGTAAAATTTAAGTGTTTAATTTAAAATAAATAATTGATTACTTTCATTGTTTAACCTGTTAAATCATAAAACCAAACGATTATTATATTGTTTTCAGAATAATGCATAAAAAAAGTAAAAAGGGAGTTGTTATATCTTTATTATGAATGTTTTTACAACATTTATTTATAAAAATTAATGTATTTCAATGTAAATCGTATCCCTATAAACATTTTTTTTTTATATTAAAGTGAGAGGAAATTGAACAACTCATTTTGTAGAAAATTTATTGGAGTGTAATTTGGTAATCCTTCGTTGTCTCGATACTGAAAATGCTAAGTTGTTCTGTCCTCAAAATTAATTGTACATGTAGTGTAGCAAAGACTTCGAGAAAGGAAACGTGAGCAAGTGTGGAGTGGGTTTTTATTATGTAAAGGGGATAGTTTAAAAAAATGTTAAAACGATTAAATTTTATTTATTTATATATTTTTAAAAAAAAAGTAAGTCGTGTTTATGAAACACTCGCGTAAAAAATAAAAAATAAAAAAGTGGTGTTTTATAACTTATTATGCAATATATTTTTTAATTTAAGTTAATTAAAGTTGTATTTATTACACGTGTTATCATTTTATTTCTTATTTTAATTATGTTTTTTTTTTGGCAAGAAAAAATAGAACAATAACAGTGAAGATCAAACTTGAGTCTTCATATATAACAGTGTCAATTTTTATTAATTATTATATTTTTATCAATAATTATATGTTGTGATATTTTGGAATGTGTTGTAAACAAATTCTAGGAGTTTAAGGACTCTTGACGAGTCTTTAGGTGTTTTAGAGGGTTTCTAATGATAAAGGTCCACTTTGACCCTAAAAGAAAAATATATAAGGTTTATTTTTAAATTTTAGTCTCATAAGCTTATTTCTCAAATAAATTTAGAAAGAGAGCTAGTGAGAGATGTTTTTGTGACAAAAGGTGACCTCTACTTCCTTCTATTTCCACAACAAACCTTTGAATCCTTCCCCAGAGATCTTTAGTTGTTGGAGTGGTGATCTGAAGCTCTTAGTTGAGGATTGGAGCAGTGCAAAGTTTTGGGGTGAACTTGAAGTATTCTTTTTCTTCTCTCGAATTGGTGAGGTAATGGAAGCTAGATTCGTGGTTTGGTTGTTGTTGGTTGATTTTGATGTTGTATGTTGTGGAATTGCATCTAATTCGTGGTTGTGTGGATGATTGAGTGATAAAATCATCGTTTTCGACGAGCTTTGGGTAGGAGATGCACACCGAGGGGATCTTTGTGATTCTAACTTGAATGTGATTGCATGTTGTTTTATTGGTGTGGATTGAGTTGTTGTTGATGTGTATAAATGTTATCTTGCTTTGCATGTTGGTGATTTTATGGATTTTAAGTGTTTTGAGCTAAATTCATGAGTTTACAGTGAAAAACTCACCATCACGTAGGGCGTGACTCAAATCAAAGATCTTTGTCTTACTTATGCTGGTAGCATGATTGATAGCATTAAGTGTGGAGAGAGAGATTAGTCATTGACTTGATCACGCTAAGCATGGTTTGAATGACACTATGCATGAGATGAAAAAATAGTCTCTACTTATATTGACGCCAGGTGTTAAAATAGTGGTGTCAGACATAAGGAAAAATAATCTTCTTTGCCTGAATTGGAGCCGGTCAAGGGACTTTACCACGCTAGACATAAGAGTTTAATGGCACCTAACCCACACCAGACACAAGTTGTATGGCATTGGAAATGGGTGAGGCAAAGATTTTCTTGCCTCAATGACATTGAGCACATGGTGGATAGTGTTAGGCATAGGTTGTTTTTATAGTAACTTGTTAATTATATGATTAATTTATTTAACATTGGTAGGTTATGTGAATCTATTGCATGTTGTATGTTGTTAAGTGTATTAGGGTCTATGCATATTGATATGGGATGATATACGTAGATGGTTATATGATTGAACGGTTGAAGTGCAATTGTGTTATACACTGATTAATATTGTTAGATCTATATTCATTGACCTAAGGTGATGGATATAGATGATATTAATATTGTTAGATCTATATTCATTGACCTAAGGTGATGGATATAGATGATAATTATTGAGGTGTGGTGTTGAGAATGCTTCAAACATGTAAGCATGGTTTGTTGACTTGTTGAGGTGTGATCGATGTTAAGAATGCTTTAGGCAATTAAGCATGATTCATTGATTTATTGACTTGTTAAGGTGTCGATGCTGAGAATTCTACAAATATCTAGCCATGTTGACTGACTTAAGACTAGAAGATAGGTTATTTTTAAAAGTTGAATATCTCATTATATGGATATTGGTGTAGTGGTCCATGAGTTCGATTATTAAAAACCTTATTCGAATAGGTGTTATTTCTTAAAGTGAATTATTGAGTCTCCTATAGATCCTTAGTTGATGTTGGAGTAAGGTATGAAATTGAATGTCACAACTCTTAACCGATTACTAAAGAGGTGCGTGGTATCGCAAGAATAATTAGTTGTGTTGTAATCCATAAGGGACTTAGTTAATGCATGTTAATATTATGGTAAGTTCATTCCCAAACCATGTTATACCCTAGTACTGTATAAAAAAATATTTTTTATTAGTAAATAAAATAAAACATATATAAGAATAGTTGGAAACCTTTAAAATCTATTTATTAACAATCTCAATGCGATGTTATATGAAATTATGACTAACAAATCTTCTAATAGTTAACAACCCTACAATGATGGTAATAGAGAGACACAAGGCAACGAGGCAAGAATGCAGGATGGTGATGCAAGCAACAATACAAGATAGAGATGTGAGGAGTGAAATGAGGCAGAGACATAAATAGCGTTGCGAGGAAGAGACACAAGCGACATATAAGACAAATAATAGAAGTGACACAAGGATATCATAAACGGTAATGATGAAAGACGATATTCGAGATAGACAAATGATTATATAATAGATGAATGAAGATGTAAAATTACAAGAAAAACAAAAATAAATAAAATTTCAATTATAATATTATAATATAATTTAAATAAATAAAATATTATTAAATAATTATATTCTTTTATATATATAAAACTGTAGGATACTAGTTACATACTATATTATCTGTGTGCATACTCACCCACTAAATTTTGTAGATTTATATCGATCCTATATCCATTCTCACATAAACGAATATCTATCTACCTCATAGGAATATTTTTATGAGTGTCCGTAAAATCAGATCCATCTTACTATCTATATCCGCACCCACGCGTTGCGACTTGCGATGCCTAGCCGTGGAAGTCCACGTATTAAAGCTAACAGACTTTTATGTAATTTAAGGTAGAACTGCAGTGAAGACTGCAGAGGAGAAAGAAGACCACAAAGACCAGTGCTACGGATCAAGGTCTTTTGCGGTTTAAAATTGATCACGAATCTCAACCATCAATATTATAGTATTTTACTTAAACAAAAAATTAATAAAAAATAGGTTAAATTATTATTTTAAACCTTTATTTAATTTTTATAATGATTATTCTCAATTTTATAATACAAATTTGAATTAATTTTTATTGATTCGACACATAAAATTTACAATATTAAATTTATTTATATGAAAATTATAAAATTTAATTGAAGTTGAAATTTAAGAGAATTATAAAATAATAAAAATTATATGAAAAGTATATTCCATAAACAGTTAAAAAATAATATAAAATAATATTTTTTATTTTTTATTACTTTTAAATTTATTTTCATATAATTGTAGTTATGTTTATAATATTTTTTAAACTTCATTTGAATTTAATTATTTTTATATAAATTAATCTAATAAAACAAATTTTAAATCTAGAATTAAACAAAAAAATATTCAAAATTATATTGCAAAATAAAAAATATTATTTTAAAATATCAAATTAACTCAAATTTAAAAATAAAAGAGTAAAGTAAAATATTACTTAAATAAAAACTAAAATAAATTTTAAAAATAAGATAAAAAATAAAAAATATAATTTAATTTAAAAATAAAATAAAATAAATTTACATGGAATATGAAACTGCACCTTCGACCGTAGAGGATCCCTATCCCCATTCCCCAGGGTCACACTGCCCCTGCCATCCCGTGTATCCTGTAAACGCCGTCGTTCAGTTTAACAGGCTTTGGAATTAGTGCTTGCGTTGCGTTACCGTCGTGAACCGGGTATCATATGAGTCAACGACACGTATCTGTCTCAGTGGGTCCATTTTCCAAGGAAACCACAAAACACTTCAAACTTCAAACTATCCTTGCATTTTTTCATCTTACTCGCTGGCTCTTACGTTAACTGCGATTACTATTGATTAAAAATAAAAATAAATATACTAATTTTTATATAATCATATTTAATTGATTCATTATTTCAATAAATGCATTATATTTTAAATATTAAATAATTTATGAAGAAATAATTTTAGAAAATAATTATTTTTAATTAAAAATTGATAATATCTTACATTTTGAAACGGATAAAAATTAGATAATGAAATTGTACTTAATTATATTCTTTGATTAGGATTATAAATTCATTCCAATATTATTTATTTATATTTAATGCAAACGTAATTAATTTAATTAATATATATTTATATTAATGCATATTATGAAAATAAAATCTCCATTCTCATTAAAGAGCAGTATTAACTATACATATAGATTTATAACTAAGCTTTGTGTTTTTGAAACATTTTTCAAGTGTTAAAAACTTAAAATAGTAGATATTGTGTAACAGAGGGAGTACATATTCTTTCAAATATTTTTTAATAATTTTTGGTTTCACAATTAGCGAAGTTTTAAGATTTAAAAGATATTTTAAAATAAATAATGTTTTTATTTTTTTAAATATAATTCATATTTTTCAATTATTAAGTATATATTATTATTTGAAACAAACAACAAATTATATTAATTTTTTATAAATTAAAACTTATGGCCAATTTATGGATAAGTTAATTTTAACATATAAAAATGTAATTAAAACAATTTATAAATTTTTTTAAGAGTATTAACGGAAAATTAAATAAATAAAATCGTATAAAAAATAATTTTAATTAGTGGGAAAAGTAGTGTGTTGGGAGGTTAGCTGATCTTACTATTTTTATAAGAGGGAGTGAGTGAGTCACGTTTCGTGTAGTCATTGTCTCAGTCTTCCAGGGTTAGATCTCAATTGAATACCTTCCCGTGTTTGTCGCGTCGCGTGTAATATACATTCTACAGTATTGTCTGAAAATACGTTGAAAAATACGAAATTAGATCTGAGATATCAAGTTTTATTTCATAATAATAACATGTATTTACGCAAGCAAAATACAATTTTGCACAACAAGAGCATCGATATTTATCTTTCTTAAATATGATTTTAATATTTTAAATTAACGTAATTTTTTTTTTAATTTTTAAATTTAAAATTATTTTTTAATTTATGTAAATTAAAAAAAAATTATTTTAATTCTTATATTCAAATTTTATAAAATTCACTTACGAATAATTTTATTAACAAAAATATTATATTAAATCGTTAATGATACATAATTATCTTAATCTATTTTTTTGAGTAATAGGATTTTTAAAAGTTATAAAAATTAAAGTTAATAACTTTTGAAAAAAAATTACTTTAAATCTCTCTCTCTCTCTGTAATCTTTTATATTTGTAATTGAGACCTGCATGCCGCAGCCATTCCATTTGGTCCTTCTGTACGAACTACGAAGGAAGTTGATGGGTTGGGAATGACATTGCTTTCGTGTGAAGTGTGATTTTGTTCCTAATGTAATTACCAAATAGGGTTACATTTGCATATTAAAAACTGTTGCACACGTACTATTCATCTTATTTCAATTTACTCGCTAGTCAATCAGTAACAACTGGGTTCCAGAGCATGAAATATTATTCATATTATTACCTTACACAGTTACACCTGCATTTACTAATTACTATGGTGTTTAGTGTATGAAAGCAGCACAGAGGGAATAAAGCTCGATCTTATTGGTTTATTTGAGATAAAAATTACATATGAGGGCTAATGTTCGGAAAATAAAGGTATAATTTTTATATATTTTTTTTCAAATATATAATCGAGTTCACCAAGGACTCGTTACTAGACTGACATATAACAGTTTTTTTTTTAAAAGGTATAATCAAATTTTAGAAGAAAAAATAAAGTTGATGATTATTAATTGATTTTTTTTTCTCTCAAATCAATCATCCTTAAAATATACTATATTTATCATTTATCATCTATTTCCATTCGCCCTATTTTCTTGACTCATTTTTGTTTATCTTATTTATTCTCCTCCCTAACAGACAGTAAATAATAGTCAAGTAGTTGTTGGTTTGTTTAATGACAATTTTAAAGAGAAAATAATTATTTAGGAAAAGAAAATCCCATTACCCGAAACTAGAAAGAATTTCCAAGGAACCAAACACCACACTTCCCCGTAAACCTTGAGAAGAGACATTTCTAAATCCCATTTTGAGACCTGGGTGACCGTGAGAGATCAGAGGAAAGGCAAGTGTTAGCCAATATTCTTCTTACTCCATGTTGGTTTAATGAAAAAAACAAATTAATTAAAAATAATCACATTTTACTAGTTTTTGTTTGCGATAAAATATTTTATAACAATTTCTAATTAAAAATTATATTTTAATTTCTTAATCAATATCTTTACCAAGACTTAAAAGATAAGAGAAAAAAGTCTTCATCTTCTATGGATTTCAATATATCATCAATCCTTTAATATTAAAAACTAACGACTATTTTATGAAATATTATTTTTAGAATTTTTTTTAACTTTTCATTTAATTTGATTTTCATTTATTATAAATATAAATTAAATTTTAATATTTTAAAATTAGTTAGCCATAAGCAAAAAATAATTTGAAATTTTCAATAAAATATGCTCAATATTTATATTATATAATCATTTATATGTCTATATTATTAATAAAAGAAATATCTCTTTTAATATATACAAATTTTAGACTAATTTATCTTTATAATTTCTTTTAAAAAATATATTTTTATTTATTTATTTTGTTTTACTGATATTAAATTTCTAAATTTCCCTTTAAATAGCTATTCATTAATTTTTTTTTATTTAAAACAAAGAGGCTTCGTGCCTCTTTTTCTCCAGCCGGCTAAAAAGTAAATTATTTCTTCAGGTATTAAATATTTTATATATGATACATGTTTTTTAATAAAACAAAATTCCTTTTAACTCATTAATTTTTGTTCGAAAGTACCCATTAGAGAAAGAAAAATATACAGGCATTTCTATCCTTTTTATTTTTTAATTCATTTATATTTTATATTTTTAAATTTTCTCTTTTTATTTATCACATTTCTTATTCCACTCGTAAGGTCTCTTATAACAAATACAAGATAAAAAAAATGTAAGGCAAAATACTGAAAACACCTACAACTACAAGCTTACACACACAAAAAAAATACAATACAATAAAAAATAAATAAAGAGAAATAATGAATAATCACATACGTATTTGGAATGTTAAAATATACATTTATAATTATTCCTTCTATTTCATTTTATTTGACATTTAATTTTTTTATAGATATTAAAAAAATGCAATTAAAGTTTTAGACTTTATACAAATTATTATTTGATTTTTTAATATACTCCTTATCTTTTATACAAATTAGATATTATATTATCTATTAATTTATATATTCTTACTTTATAATAACTAATTAAAATATAATAAAATATATTTAATACTTTTGAATAATATAATATAGTATAGTTTTTTACTAAATAGTCAAAGAATGAAAAGAGAAGAATAAGTATAAAGTAAACATTCTAAGATTGTTTGGAAGGAAGAGAAGGAGTGGCTCTCCTCTACTCTGAGCCTATGACCTACTACCTACCTAGTGGTTACTGCTACTGCTGGCAGTGTCAAACCCAAACACAACTTCCTCGTCATTTCCAACAACTCAATCCCACCACACCACTCCATCATTTTCAGTTAGACAACCATGAAAGCAAGATAAACAAAGTAGTAGTAGTAAATTTTTTACACCTCTTTTTTCTTAAAAATTAAAATTTTCCTTTCATTATTGATTCTTTTACATCAATTTATCCTTTAAATCCTTACCAGAAAAAGAGAAAAACTGGAGTATGCAGTTTTTTTTTAATTATCTTTCTTATTTTATTTTATCAAAATTTACTCTTTAGCTTTTAAAATCTTTTATATAAACTATAATTTTAACTTATATAATATACAAGGTAAATGTTTATTTTATATAATTAAATTTATAATAATAGATACTTTTGAATAACTAAATTATATTATAATTTACAATAAATAAATAAATCTAAACATATAAATATATTATTAATTTATAATAAATAGTTAGTATTATTAGTATACAAGATTATTTTTAACTATTAATAATTTGGTTTAAAAATATTAAAATTTAATTTTAAAAAATAGATAAAAAATTAAGTAAAAAATCTTAAAAATATTCACATCAAAGAAAAATTTCTAAAAGCATACTCATTCAAAAATGGTTTCTAAAAATATTATCATTCAATATAATTAATTTTAGTCTTACATATCATTTTAAATAGAAGAAAAAAAGTTGGGTCAAACATTATCTTACCCAAAAACATTTTTATAATGTGTATTCGAAGTTGATTAAAAAATAATTCATTAAAAATATTTATCACATTAAAATATAAAACTGATTTTCATAGTTGTTTTAAACAATTAAAAATATTAAATATAAATTATTTGATGTTCTTTAGTTATTGTTTAAAGAGAATATCAGAAAACTGATTTAAAAAGATAAATTCAAAGTATTCCCTAAGTAGAAGTTAATAAATTAAAATATAAAATCATATAAAAATATTTAACACATTATTTTTAGAAATATTTATTAACCAGAAAATATAATATTAAATATTTGTTAATAAGCATGATAGAATACTAATTAACCAAACCTTTTGAAATATATTCTCTCTCTCCCCAGGTCATGTTCCATGATTTTACATCACTAGTTCATGTTCTTCAAGCTTATCCAGCGAAGCAGAGCAACACCATTAAACCAATACATGTTTCTAATACGTCATCCTATCCAATAGTATGTTTATACTATGTATATGTATATATATAGTATCTTTTACTGTGTCAAATTGTCAAAATTAACGAAATATCTTCTTCTTCTTTGTTATTATTATTATTATTTTTATTGCTAAAAGTTTTATCATGCATAATGTTATTCGGTTATTCTATTCGAGTATAATTGCCTCCTGTTATACTCATAATATACACGTATACCAAAATAAAATTTTATTATTGGTTTTGTAGAGTACAATATAACATATATATAAGAAAAACTTTAATGCTTTGTGAGAGAAAGATTGTTGTTTTCACTACATCCATCACTTGCTGTTGGTTGCCACAGTGATTTGGACTTGAAAGCGCCCATCTTTTCATGTCTATTGACATTGATTGTTGATACATCACTTGGCTTGTTGATGTCCTCTTTGAATCAATCTCTCTTTCCATACGACTCTTCGTCCTCGACTCTTTCTTCATCTGTGTCAACCACTGTGCTCAACCTCAACATAAGCTTTTCTAAGTTTTAACTTACCCATCACACATTCACATTCACTCTCGCACACACAAACATGAGTTCAGTTGTACCTCAAGTTTCCAAGAACAAGGCAATGTGGCTGCATCCAAAGGTTTTGGGTTTTAATCCTTCTGAAAGATGGGGGCACTCTGCTTGCTTCTCCAATAGCCTTATGTATGTCTTTGGGGTATGACTTAACTTCAAATCCCTTTTACTCACTAAAGAAAACAACAGTTTATTTCCATGTTGTAATTAATAGTTTCTAAGTTTCTCAACCATATCTAGATTAGATATTTTTTAGACCTGCTCCTTACTGGATTGTCCTCATTAATGATGTCTCCCCACATGTTGTAATTCTTTGGTGATTTCTTTTCTGGGGAATTTTCTCATTAATTTAGCTAGTTCCAAGTATTAATTAGTACTTCTTTAGTATTTCTCAACTCTTCACTGCGTTATTGCTATCTATATAAGGCTAAGAACCAAAGCACTTTCTTCTTCTGAATTTTAGTTTTTTCCTAATCTCTTTCACCACCTATTTTTCTTGGAGACAGTTAACTGAATTCATTTTTCTTACTGTAATTAGTGGGACAATACGAGTTTGGGTGACCATCATCTTTCTGCTTTCTTAATATAGCAATATTTATATTTTCATTCTTCTCTTCTGTTTTTACTCATCCCTCCTGTCCTGTGTTATAAAACATGCACTTTAAAAGACACTGTGCTACTTCACTGTCATGGTTATCTGAGACCTCTTACTTTATTACATATTATCCATCTCCTGCCACTAGATAGATATTGCAGAAACTTAAGCACAATTGATCATTAAGAGATTGACCTAGAAAATACTGCCTGATTTTTTTGGGTTGAGATCGCTTGGTCCTTATGACCAGTGAACATTGAACTAAATTAAGAAAATGCAACATAGTGACCATTTCCTTTCTTTTGTTCTTTCATTTGCAATTCTATAAATGAAAGCAATCAAGCACGTTTTATCCTGTCACATTGCCTTGCAAAATGTGAACTAGTGGACAGTATAGAATATTTTATATATTTTTACTGATTAAGCATGTTTGGTAAGCTTTTGATGTTTTGATAAACACTTTGTGTCTACTATTTCAGGGGTGTTGTGGGGGACTGCATTTTTGCGATGTTCTCACTTTGGACCTTAACAAAATGGTTTGGAGCAAGCTTACTACCACGGGTGAAAAGCCAGGGCCTAGAGATAGCCATAGTGCTGTTCTTGTGGGGCATAAAATGATAGTGTTTGGTGGTACAAATGGCTTTAAGAAGGTGAATCATGTTCATATACTTGATCTTGTTACCAAAGAGTGGGTTAGACCTGAGGTTAAAGGGACTCCTCCATCCCCACGTGAAAGCCATACTGCCACGCTCGTTGGTGATGAGAGGATAGTGATATTTGGTGGTAGTGGAGAAGGTCATGCTAACTATTTAAATGATTTACATATTCTTGATCTTCGAACCATGAGTTGGACCTCCCCTGAGTTGAAAGGTGATTTGCCTGTCCCTAGGGACAGTCACAGTACTCTTGCAATTGGAGACAAGCTTATTGTGTATGGTGGAGACTCTGGTGATCAGTATCATGGCAATGTTCACATGCTTGATATGGCAACAATGACTTGGTCTAGAGTATGCTCTTCCCTCCTCCTCTTCGATCATTGCTTATAATTTTCTTAAAACGTTTGGAAAGGGAAAATGTTATGTTTTCTACTAGAAGGGACTTAGGGTCCTTCAGGATAAACAGTTTAATTATGTGCTTATTGAATAAATACCTATCATGTAAGCACTGATGTAGTGGTTTTATGATTGAAAAGAATAGTTAAACTCCTTTCATCTAAGTTGTAGCTACTTTCATAAGCTATCTTGGAGACTAGAGCGCATATTAAAATAAGTTAAAAATAGTTTATGACATATCATAAGCTATTTTCACATGCCCTCCCAAACATTTACACAAGCTTTTGGCTTTTTAATAACAGTTGACAATTCAAGGTTCTCCACCGGGGGTCAGGGCTGGTCATGCTGCAGTGAACATTGGAACAAAGGCAAGTTATGTTAGTGACATTCATTTTTACCAGCACTTGCTTTTTACTGAATTGATACAGAACACTTCTGAATTTTAATAGTTAAGTTTGTCAAGGAATTCATAGATTTTTTCTCATTAGATTGAGCCACATCATTTTCTAAAACTGCATGATGTACAGGTTTATATCATTGGAGGAGTTGGAGATAAACGTTACTATAATGACGTTTGGATCTTTGATATCTGCAATTTTTCGTGGACTCAACTTGATATACCTTTTCAACAGCCACAAGGGCGATTTTCTCATACAGCTGTTGTTGCAGGCATTGATATTGTAATATATGGAGGGTATGATTCTATATATTAGAAGTATTTCTAACCAATGTTGCAATGTCAATTCTCTTTCTCATGACAGTTCAATTTTTATTTTTATTTTTTTGTTAGCAGTTGTGGGGAAGATGAACGGCCTCTCAAAGAATTGTTAGTGTTGCAGCTTGGAGCAGAGCATCCAAATGGGCGTTACTATATTCACATGTGCAAACCTTTTGGAACTTATATAACTCGAGAAAATAAAATTATCCCAGGAGAAGCAGATACCAACTCGGTACAGAATTTCATGTAGCAATGCCATCATTTACCTAGTTCGATTTTACCAAAAGTGGAACTGACAATGAGTTTTGATGCAGAAACTTGTGAGGAATAATGTGGAAGCTTTCGGAAAAGGAGCTTATGAAGTTGCATCCGAAAAAGCACTCCCTTGTCTCTTTGACTCAGGTGAGTTGATAACTTTGAACAAACTTCGTAACAAGTCATTAATAAGCACTTAGAGAAGAAACTAGAAAACAAAATGAATCAAAGCCTTTTCATTTTCATACCAGCTTTTAGAAAAGATGGATGAGAAGACTTTTATAAAATTTTAAGTGCCTTGAGTTGATTTAAACTTAAGGAATTTTATTTATTTTACTTTGGTTTCATTGAGAAATTTATTCGGTGCAAGTGGAGACTCAATAAGGGTTGGTTGACTGAAACCAAATGATTATATGTAGGTGCTTCACGACAGAAGAGGAGGAGAATTGCTGCTTCAAAGGTGTGGGATGTTGAATCAGAACAAGAAGAAAAGTTTCTTTCATTGTCCCTTCATTCATCTCCATACCAATCCGATCAAGAACAGACCCCAACTCAAAAAACAAATACGTTATTTCCAACCACTTGCCAACACGACAATGACTCAGATGATAAGAGAACCCCCCTTAAAACTCCACGTGATTTTCATTTCCGAGAACATAAACTAAAGCAACAACAATCTCTTTATGTTCACGAGGATAGAAAGAGAGCTCAACATCAGGCTGCAGAGCAGAAAGCCATGGGGCGAGGACCCATTCAACACATGGTGAATCCTTTGTCTTATACTGCCACAATTTCCCCCTTTGTTAATCCTAGTTGCTCATTCTAATTCACTCTTGATTTTAAATACAAGATTGGTGCCGAAGTTCGTGGGAGAGTTAATGGAGCTTTTGACTCAGGAGCACTCTCTCCTGTGAATGGAAAGGTTTTCAGGGGAGTCATATTTGCACCTGTAAGTTCCTGAACTTTGGTGCTATAATGTGTCACATTATGATCATAATTTATGTGTTTTAACCAGTTTCGGTAACAAATAAAAAATGCATCAGGGAACAGGAATTGTCTCAAAGGTAGCCAGTGTTCAACCAAATTGTTCTCTAACAAGTTCTTTGCCTTCAACTCAAGCATTTTTGAACTCCAATCATGTGAGTAATTTAAGGGCTTCCCAACATGCACCTATTTGTTTGCATGCAGAACCATGCCACGTTTCGCGGCAAACCCCAGTGGCTTTACCATTTCCAATCATGCGTGGCTCTCCAAATGGTGTTTCAAAGGAGCATAAAATCAGGGGTGACCTTCAAGGGTTGGTTTTAACACTGGGAGGACCTACTAGTGGAAATCCTCAGGTGAAATATTGAGGAGGCTAATAAAATAAGGTTCATGTAAATTTCGGACATAACCGTACGACGTACTTGAGTGGTTATCATGAATTTCCTGAATCAATCGTTATCTGCATAATGTTATTTGTTTTTCGATTTGCGGTGTAATCCTGTCCTCTTCCCATTGCATTGGAAGATTTTTGTTTGATGATACTGATTAATAAGTTAATTTCCTCCTATTTGGTTATAAGCTAGGAGGACATGAGCGAGCATGGATTCATTGAACATGATCTCTCATGTCAAAAAGTAACGTGAAAAGACCTTATATTTTATAAAGCGACACACAGTTTTGGGGCATAAATCATAACAAGAGGAATTTGGATTGAGTAGATTTAAATTGTATTGGAAAAGGGAAGTATGTACATATATTTTAGCTTTATAATATATTCAGAGTTATTTTGTATTAGTTTTCACATATATTTAAAAATAAGAGAAATTCTATGGTACTTAGAAGGTAATAGCACAGTTTTTTATATTTATATTTTTAATAATTTATTTAAATAATATTTATGATATTTTATTCTTTCCATTTTTAAATTATTTAGTTATTTTATTTTTATTTTATATATTCTAATTTATTTGTAATAATATTATTATATATTTAAATAGTTTAATTTTAATAATTTTTAAGTATATTTTTATCTTTTCACTTAATTTTTGAATTTCTATATTTTAATTTTAATAATTTTTTAAGTATATTTTTTTGACTTTTTATCTTAAATTTTTGAATTTCTATATTATAATTTTAATAATGTTTTATTTTTATTATTTATTATTTTTTTTCTTTTTTTTAATATTTTATAATATTATTAAAATCTTATAATTTTAATTTCTATAATTTGATCTTAATTTTTATTTTATAAGTATAATTTGGATTATTTATTTTATAATTAAATTAAATTTGTTTAAATTTTTTATAAATTAACATAAAAAAATATATTAAAATTTCTCAATCTTTGAAAAGTACCCTAACAACTCCTTTAAAATAATTGAAGTTGTGCACATGTTCTTTCATACAATGTATCCGTCATATACATGAATGTATCCATCACATTTGGGTGCAGCCTGGGCACAACGTGGCTAAATAGCTTTGGAAAATACTCAAAATGGGTGCATTGTATTCCGCTACTTGTGTTTCCCTAGCCTGTAAGGTACTACAGTGGTTAAACTGTTGCTGAAGTAAAAAGATAAAGGAGTGCTCCACGTACCTACCCAACAAAAAAGTCAGTGTCAACTAAAACAGTTAAAAAAACAACACGTGGTGGCACTTAAGCTAGGGTCGAAAATATACTGAAAATTATTTTTTAATACCTATATGTGGTAACTTGCATATACGTAATGTGATATTAAAAGAATAAGGAGGATAGAAAAATGGTATAAAAAAGTAATATATAAATATCAAAACGGTATGAGGTGAGCATTAGTAGATTCTCTTTTCTTTTATAACCATTCAAATGAAATTACGGTGATAGAATAGAAAGATATTACGGATAAAGTTGGTGAGATGGTTGTAAAAGAAAGTAAGAAAGCAGTATTTATTTAGAAAATTGAAGTAATAATAGAATGTGTTAGTATAATAATGATAAAGTTAGAGAGGTTTTGCACGTGAAAAGTAAGAATTAAGGATTGTACGAAGGATTTTTGAGGGACCGGGCGGGCACAGATGAGAACAGAAAATTTCGCCCGTGCTTCCCGCGGGACGCTGTCGTTGTGTCCTCCAATTCCAATGTATTGAAATGAAACTAGGCAATAGCAGTAGCCAATGGCTTGGTCTCTGTCACTTGTCTCATCTGTCTGCCACGTCTACGGATACATACATTATACATTCATACTCATACTCATTCTGCACCTCCACCACAACACACCCTTTTTTCTTATCATTTTAATATTACTAATCTGCCACTTACTCCTTATGTAAAAATTAATAAATAGAAGCTGTAATATAACTGTATTTTAATTTTATAAAAACAAGTTTCTGTTGAAATTGGGCAACAGATTGTAAAATTAGTGGAGGTGGTAGTATTAGTAACATGAGTGGGTTTTAGAAAGAGGAAATTGGTTATAATAAGAAAATGGGTGGCAGTGAAGGAAGGAAAGAGGGGGAGTGATTGATTGATTGATTGATTGAGTGATTGATTCATTGTGAGTTTTTAAGATTGAGGTTGAGTGGGTGAATGAACATCATAAACAAAAGCTGTGCTGTGCATGAGGAGTGGAGTGCTTCACTCAAACTCTCGACAAGAAAAAGAAAACATAGTTGTTGCAATCATGTTGACAAGACTCTCCTCTCCACTATTGAAATTTCAAGAAACTCCTTTCATCCACCACTCTATCGCCTCACTAGAGTAGTCATACCTACCCACTCCCGCTCCTCTTATTCTTTTTAGGCTAAACGACCTTTGTGGGAGAGTTTTAGAAACTTATTACTAAAATAGGACTGTTTTGAAATATTTAACACCTTTTGAGCTCTTTTATTATGTATCGCTATGGGTCATAGCGACACTCATGACACGTGACTTTTTTTTTTTTTGGCTTGGTTGGGCTGGACCAGTGTCGCTATAGGCTAGCCCACCACAGCTGATGGACTTAAAACAATTATGTAGCCCATAGCGACACTGGGTAAAGAAAAAAATAAAAAAAAAGAAAATAATAATAATGTAAAATAAATATAATAAAGTGAACTACTTATTATATAATTATAAAAAGAAAATTAAATTTTTAAAAAACGTAATTTTAAAATAAAAAAATGTATTTTTTTAACAAAGGCGCTGTGCCCCATAGCGCCTGAGTGGAGCTATGGGCCATAGCGCCCCAATTTTAAATTTTTTTTTTTCGTTTTTAAATTCTTTTTTACATTTTATTACTTATTTTTTAAAATTAACATTTTTCTTATTTCAATCTTTTTTTTTCCTTTTACCCGTTATTTTTTTATAAATTTGTAAAAAAATTTATATTTGAAAAAATATTAGATATATTTTTATAACTGGCGCTATGAGGCATAGCGCCTGAGTGGAGCTATGGGCCATAACTCCCCAATATTTTTTTTTTCGTTTTTAAATTATTTTTTATATTATATTACTTATTTTTTAAAATTTACATTTTTTTCTTATTTCAATCCTTTTTTTTTCCTTTTTATCCGTTATTTTTTTATAAATTTCTAAATACATTAAAAAGTGGAAAAATGAAATACATAAAAGGAAAAAAATATTTAATAATAAAAATGGAATAAAACATAAATTTAAAAAAAATTGAAAAAAGTTAATAATATAAATAAGAATAAAAGAAAATAAAATAAATAATTTATTGAAATTAAATAAATTTTTATAATAACAGAAATATAAAATTAATATTTTAAATAAATTAATAATATAAAATTTGAAAAGAAATGAAAAAAAAAAACAGAAGACAGGTCGCTATGGCCTATAGCGAATTTTTGGCGCTATAGGCCATAGCGCCTCGTGAGGAAAGGAAATATTCCATGATTCCGTCTCTGCTCCGTGTTCCACACTGCACGTTTTTTTTTAACTTCAAATGTATCTTCTTTTCTTATACGAAATGCTTACTTCCAATTTCATTCTTATATAAAAGTAATTTAATTATATAATAGAGTTTTACTTATCATCGTTTACATCACTGTTACAACCAGAAAATTAGATTAAATGAAAGTACTGTACGTAATAATGCCACCAGAGGCGCTATGGGCCATAGCGCCCCAATTTTTTTTTTCTTTTCCTTTTTAAATTATTTTCATATTGTATAACTAAATTTTTAAAAATTTTATTTTTTCTTATTTTAATTCCCTTTTTCACTTTTATCCGACATTTTTTTTTTATTTTTAAACAAATATTATATTTATAAAATAATACATATTTTTTAAACTGACGCTATGGGTCATAGCGCCTCAGTGGAGGCATGGGCCATAGCGCCCCATTTTTATATTTTTCAATACTTATTTTAGTTATTATTTTTTAACAAAATTTATTTTTTTTAGCCGGATTGAGTCGCTGTAGCCTATAGCGCCTTGTTTTGAGACTCCACCAGCTACAACGACTCTACTAATATGGCTTTCATGGCTTATAATCAGACCTAGAATTGCCACGTGTCATGGGTGTCGCTATGGCCCATAGCGACACCCAAGAAAATATCCCCAAAGGTGTTAAATGTTTCAAAACAGCCCCATTTTGATAATAAGTTTCTAAAACTGCCCCACAATGGTCGTTTAGCCTTCTTTTTACTATTCATACTTCACACTGGACCAACCCTTAACCCAATCCTTTATACATAATCCAGCCCACTTCTCATTGTCATTTTTTATTTTCTTTCATCGATAAGACTCTTCTCTTGTTTTTAATTCGTTTAGGTGATGCATACTATTTTCTGGTATGAGGCTAGAGTTGCTATATATATATATATATATA